GGAGGATAGGTGAGGCCAAGAGGTCTCGAGATTTTATTAGATATAGTGGCTCCCGTTTTGTAGTTTCAGCTTGTCATGGCAGAGGTTATATCAGTCAACCAGTTCAATCTGTACTTTAGGTTTCTCATATTGCTCCAGCTATTTAGGGAACTCAGAGTACCCATTTTGGACAACCATCTTCCAGTGCACCTCCTGCACGAGATTCCTACAACAGTTATTTCCGTCCGGGTCAGTCTCAGTACCAGCAGCCACGCCTGCAGAGAGGTTGTTTCAATTGTGGTGATACTATGCACATGGTTAAGGATTGTCCCAGATTGCGGAGGGGTGGGCCTCCGCAAGGTACTCAAGCTATGGTTGCTGCTCCACTTGCACACCCAGATAGAGGCAGAGGACAGATGGGTAGAGGGAGTCCTAGAGGGGGAGGCCAAGCCCGTTGTTAAGCTTTTCCTAGTAGGACTAAGGCTTTTGCATCAAATGCTGTCATCAAGGTATTTTTTGGTTTGTCATAGGTATGCATCAGTTTTATTTGATTCGTGTTCCACTTATTTGTACGGGTCATCCTATTTTGTTTTATATTTGGATATGTCTCGTAATTCTTTGAGCACCCCTGTTTATGTGTCTACACCTATCTAGGATTCTATCATTATAGATCATGTCTATCATTGTTATGTGGTCACTATCGGGGGTTATGAGACTAGGGTTGACCTTTTGTTACTCAATATGGTTGATTTTGATGTGATTTTAGGCATGCATTAGTTGATACCACATCACGCTATTATTGATTGTCACGTTGAGACTGTGACGTTGGCTATGGCAGGGTTTCCAATGTTGGAGTGGAGGGGTTGATTAGGTCATGTTCCTATTAGGGTGGTGTCTTTTCTGAAGGCATAACAGATGGTTGAGAAGGGGTGTTTGGCATACTTGGCCTTTGTGAGGGATGTTAACGTTGATACTCCTACCATTGAGTCAATTCTGCTAGTGAGAGAGTTTCCATATGTGTTTCTATAAGACCTACTAGGCATGCCACCCGATAGGGATATTAATTTAGTTACTTCTTGGTGTAAGGGCACTCAACCCATATCTATTTCACCATATCGCATGGAACCTGTAGAGTTGAAGGAATTAAAGGAACAACTTGAGGGGCTGCTTGATAAGGCTTTCATTAGACCGAGTGTCTCACCTTGGGGTACTCAAACAAGGTTACCGTCGAACAAGGTTACCGTCAAGAACAAGTACCCACTACCGTGTATTGATGACTTATTTGACTAGTTCCAGGGTGCGAGTGTATTCTCGAAGATTGACTTTGAGATCATAGTACCATTAGTTGAAGATCTGGGCTTCAGATATTCCGAAGATAACTTTTAGGACCTGCAATCGACATTATGCATTTTTGGTGATGTCTTTTGGGCTGACCAATGCCCCATCATCCTTTGTGCACTTGATGTACAACATGTTCCAGCCATATCTTGATTCCTTCGTCATCGTTTCTATTGATGATATACTGGTGTATTCTTGTAGCCGAGAGGAGCATGAGCAACACTTGAGGATCGTACTCCAGACTTTGAGGGAAAAGAAGCTATATGCTCAATTCTCCATGTTCGAGTTTTGGCTTGATTCGGTGGCATTAATGGGCCATGTGGTGTCCAATAAGGGGATTAAGGTGGATCTGAAGAAGAATGAGGTAGTTCAGATTTGGCCCATGCCTACTATAGCTACTAAGATCCAGAGTTTTCTAGGCTTGGCCGGGTATTATCTTTGTTTTGTGGAGAGTTTTTCATCCATCGCATCTCCTTTGACTAGATTGAATCAGAAGGGGTGCCCCTTTAAGGTAGTCTAATGAGTGAGAGGAGAGCTTCCAGAAGCTCAAGATTGCTTTGACTACAACTCTAGTTCTGGTTTTGCCTTCAACATCGGGTTCTTATACAGTGTATTGTGATGCTTCACGTATTGGCATTAGGTGTGTGTTGATGCAGGAGGGTAGAGTGATTACTTATGCTTCGCGTTAGTTGAAGCTCCATAAGAATAACTACTCGGTGCAAGATTTGGAGTTGGTAGCCCTTGTTCGTACACTCACGATTTGGAGGCACTATCTCTACGTCGTGTCTTGCAAAGTGTTCACGGATCACAGGAGTCTACAACACATATTCAAACAAAAGGATCTAAACTTGAAGCAACAGAGGTGGTTAGAGTTACTAAAGGACTATGATATCACAAATCCTTATTATCCCGTGAAGTGCAATGTGGTGGCTGACGCTTTGAGTAGAAAGGGTTAGAGCATGGGGAGTCTTGCTTTTATTCAAGTTAGGGAGAGAACATTAGCTTTGGATGCTTAGGATTTGGCCATCTGGTTCGTGAGTTTGGATGTTTCAGAGCCTAGCTGGGTTCTTGCTTGTGTGGTTTCTCGGTCTTCTTTGTTTGAGCGCATCAAGGCGCGTCGGTATGATGATCCCAACTTTCTTGTCCGTAAGGACATGATGCAGCATAGTGATTCCAAGGAGGTGACTATTGGCGATGATAGGGTATTGAGACGTCTTGGCCGGATTTGTGTGCCCAATGTGGATGGGTTACAGGAGCCAAATCTTGAGGAGGCCTATAGTTCGCGGTATTTCATTCATCCAGGCACCGCAAATATGTTGCATGATTTGAAGCATCACTATTGGTGGAGAAGAGTGAAGAAAACTATTGTGGAGTATGTGGCTCGGTGCTTAAATTATCAACAGGTTAAGTGCGAGCATCAAAGACTAGGTGGTTTGATTTAAAGGCTTGATATTTCGTAGTAGAAGTGGGAGTGCATCACTATGGATTTTGTAGTTGGACTTCTAAGAACCTTGAGGAGATTCGACACTCCGTGGGTCATTGTGGATAGACACCAAGTCTGCACTATTCATTCCAGACATGACTACCTACTATTCAAAGTAGCTGGTTCAGATTTATCTACGTGAGATTGTTTGCCTTCATGGTGTGCCAGTGTCTATTATCTCAGATCGAGGCACGCAGATCACATCGCATTTTTGGAGAGTCGTACAGCATGACTTGGGCACACAGGTCGAGATGAGTACAATAATTCATCCACATACGGATGGGCAGTCCGAGCGCACTATTCAGACCTTGGAGGACATGTTACATGACTGTGTCATTGATTTTGAGGTCTCATGGTATCAGTTTCTATCGCTAGTAGAGTTCGCCTAGAATAATAGCTATCACTCGAGCATTTAGATGGCTCCGTATGAGGCCTTATGTGGGAGGCGATATCGTTCTCTGGTTAGTTGGTTTGAGCTTGGGAAGGCTAGGTTGTTGGGCACTGATTTGGTCCATGATGTTTTGGAGAATGTGTAGTTGATTCAGGATTGGCTTCGTACAATGCAGTCCAGGAAGAAGAGTTATGTTGATCGGAGGGCTCGTGATTTGGCATTCATGGTGGGTGAGAGGGTATTACTTAGAGTTTCACCCATGAAGGGTGTGATAAGGTTCGGAAAGAAAGGAAAGTTGAGCCCTCGGTATATTGGTCCTTTTGAGATTCTTTAGAGAGTTGGTGAGGTATCCTACAGACTTGCATTGCCACCCAGCTTATTGGGAGTTCACCCAATGTTCCATGTTTTCATGCTCTGGAAGTACTATGGTGATCCGTCACATGTGTTAAATTTCAGCTCGGTCCAATTGGACAAGGGTTTGACCTATGTTGAGGAGCTGATGGCTATTTTTGGCAAAAAGGTCCGAAAGTTGAAGTCGAAGAACATTGTATCGGTGAAGGTTCAATGAAGAGGTCAATTGGTCGAGGACGCAACTTGGGAGACTGACATAATGTGCAGAATTGTTATCCTCATTTTTTGGCACTTCAGGTATGTCTCTATAATTGTTCAAGGATGAACGTTTGTTTAATAGAGGGGAATGTAACGACCCAATAGGTCATTTTGGGTATTTGAGTCTCGTTTCCCCCCTTTTAAGCTTCCTATATATGTACTTATGGTTTTATAACTTGCGGGGATGATTGGTTTCTTTTCGGGGAGGTTTTGAATTGATTTTGAACAATTGGTTCTTAGTTTGGAAGCTTAAGTTGGAAATTTTGACCGATATTTGACTTTTGTGAAAATGACCCCGGAATGGTATTTTGATTGTCCCAATAGGTCTGTATGGTTATTTTGGACTTAGGCATATTCCCAGAATTGTATTCGGAGGTTCCTAGGTTGAGTTGGATCTTTTTATCGAAAGTTAGCAATTTGATGGTTTAGAAATTTCTTAAGTTTGACCATAGGTTGACTTTCTGGCTATCGAGTTTGGATTTTGATTTTGGGACTTGGAATAGGTCCATTTTGTCATTTGGAACTAGTCTACAAAGTTTGGTGTCATTCCGAGTTGGTTTGGTAGGAATCAGACACTTAGTTGTGATTTTAGCAATTCTTGAGTTTTATTGTGAATTCTATGTGTTTTGGTGTCCGATTCGTGATATCGGATGTGGGTTGATTGTTGAGATGTAAATGAGATGCACATACGACAAAATAAGGGTTGTGTGTATTGATGCGCATACGGTGAGATAAGGGGGCTTATGCACGTGTTCCAAGTAAGGGGAATACATCATTGTGATACACACGCAGCAAGATAAGGGGGCTTATGTGTGTGTAGCTATATAGGGGAAATATTTCAATGTGAAGCTCACGCGGCATCATAAGGGGTTGATGATTTGAACGTGTCATTGATTTCTTGAAATGATTTCACCTTGTGTTTTAGGAGTTTTGGTTAATTTGCTATGTTATCACATGCCTATTCCTTGTTGCTATCTATTTGGTTATGCTTTCCGTTGATTGTTTTATATTGATATTCTGCATAGGTTATTTGTCTAGTGAGTGTCTAGACTTGAACCTCGTCACTACTCACTACAAAAAAACGGTGAGTTTGCGGAGGTTTAATTGTGGCGGTTATTGTAACCTCTACATTTTATATCAAAATGGGGGTTTTATACAACCCCACAAATATATGATATTTGCGGCGGTCAATAACCTCTGCCAACCTTTAAAAAAAAGCGCCTACTAACCCCAATTGTTTCCTCTTTTTTGATCATTTCCCTATTTTTTTTCCCCAAACCCCTCCCTCACTTTCACGAAAGAGAAGCTTTTCAGCATCCATTTTCTTCCAATTGAAAAATTAAAAACCCTCGCTTGAAGAATAAAAAAACTGAAAGAGATTCACAAAATATTTTTTGTATGGTAATTCCTTTCTTCGTGATGAAAGAGATGCGATTGTGGGTTCATGTCTATGGTAATTTCTCTTCCCCATTATTTGACTTTCCTTTTCTGTGTTTCTTTCTTCTTGCTTGTGGGTTTTAGGTTTATTTCCTATGTTAATTTGTATTTTTCCTTTACTAATTTTTCCTCTAATTTGTGGCTTTTCTGTTTTTCGATTCTCTACTGAAAGTAACAGAAATTTTGGTTGAATCGGTGTATTTTGAAGAAGGATATAACACTCTCTTTTGAATTCGAGATGTAAGTCCTCTTTCTCCGTCTACATTAGGTATTTTAGGTTGTAAAGTTTAGCCTTTTCAGTATTTTTGTAGGTTAATTTATGCGATTTTGGGTCTACTTAATTAAAATATTTCCTCTTGCATGTTTATTTTAGAACTCCCGATGACCTTCAGAGAAGATGCAATTGTCACTAGATGCTATTCCTCTTTCTGCTCTGCATGGTGTTCTGAAACAGGAATCAATCTCAAGGTACAAACAAATTTTTAGTTCTCTTCGTAGTATTGAATATTATTTTTTTTCTTTCTAGGTTTGTAATACAAAATGTGCAGACAATAGATTAGGTTTCCTCAACATCAATTCCGCTTTCTTTCAAAAGGCTAATGAATCAATAATATATTTTCTATTTTATTTGTCAAGTGATGAGGAATATTTTAGAAGCTTCTAATATATCCATAATATGTTGATATTCTATCAAATTTCTATCAGTTTGAGCTGCTCCAGGTAAAATCTTTCAGCTACCTCATTGATTGGCACATTGTTGCTTCAAATATTACAGGTAGGAATAGAGATTTCTCTTTTGTTTCTGCACAATCTTGGGAGGAGACTCTCATTTTACCTCACTTCTGATCTGTGATATTTTCGTACTGGATAACTTTAATTGTTAGCTGGAGCTATTATTTTATTGTTGTAAAAATTATAAGGAACAATATATGTAATTAAAGAAATTCCTGTTTTCTTTCTCTGGCTTTGGAAAATTCCAATTTTGTCGTGTTAGAACTTATCAAGGAATTTGCTATAGTAATTTTTATTTTGTACACGTTCTGCTATAATCTATGAATTGAGTATCTTGCGACATTCTCACTGATTCTTATAGAATTGACTATTCTTATAACATTGGTCATTAAGAGTGTGTCTACAATTAGTGCCTTTGTATATGTGTTGTTCGGCAAAGCTAATATTTTATACTTATCGTTACTCCTATTTATAATTTGACGATCTTATTTCCTCCTTTCTTTAATGCTTTAGTTGTTTGTTCTCTTCTTTGCCGTTTCATATCAAAACAAGGTAAAAATAATAGTTCCAACTTTTATAGTGTTGGAGCAGGGCCAGCCCCACCTAGATAGTGAAGCTTGCTTGCTTTACATAGATAATGAAGTGCTTGCTTGCTTTTATTATCTTCTTTAGGAATATTTGTATTATCTTTGTGCTAAACATTGTTTTGATTCCAACACTAAAGTGAACTAGGTAATATTATTTTGTTGCATATACTAGAGAGCCATAATTCTCTTAACTAAACTATAAAATATCAGTAAACTGCCATCCTATATAATTATCATAACTTTAACTTCACTTTTTATTATCTTACAAAATTTTATAATGTTATCGCATTGATAGCTTACTAAATCATCCTTTCTCATGAAAATATTGTAGGTTATAGTAAATACTCTTGCTCGGAGAAGTCCTTATCGGTGACACACTAATCTGATTGTGGATCAGTTTCACTTCTGAAAGGTTATATATCAGACCCTTCCAATGGATAAATCTTGGATTGGAATGCCTAGAAATACAACAAAATATTTACTTGGTTTAAATCAATTTCTAAATTTTGCATTTAAGAATGCAGCTATCGGAGATAGAATAAAATGTCCATGTCCGAAATGTGGTTTTGAAAAGTGGCAGACTAGAAGGATAGTGTACGATCATTTGATTAGCAAGACATTCCCTCAAACTTATGTCACTTGGATTCTTCATGGGGAAACAGAAATGTTGGAGAATTCTAGAAGCACAGAGGTTATCCCAGATGCATTGCCTCTTGAAAATCCTATGGAATTATTGATAAATAAAGTATTCCCAGGTTTAAGGCATGAGGGCAATGATGCAGGTCCGTCACAAGTAGTTTGAGAAGAAGAAATGTTAAATGAAATGCCTTCTTCAAATAACAAAGACTTTTTTGAGTTGCTTAGAGATGGAAGTGAAAAATTATATGAAGGGTCCATGTACTCGAAGCTTGAGTTTTTGTTAAAGTTGTATCACATAAAGTGTTTATCTGGGCTCAGTGACAAGGGAATGACTATGTTGCTAGATTTACAGAAGGATGCATTTGGATTTGCAAATATACCTAATTCTTTTTATGAGGCCAAGAATACCATCAAAAAGCTTTGTCTTGATTATATCAAGATAAATGCTTGCCCAAACGATTGCATGTTGTACTGGGGAGATGATGCTAATGATGAAACATGCAAGCATTGTCATACTTCTAGATGGAAGCAATCTAAGAAGAGCAACAATAATCAGATGGAAAGAAGAAAAAGAAGCAAAAGATGACTGCAAAAATTTTACATTACGTTCCACTAAAATTAAGGTTGCAGAGATTGTTCATGTGCTCTAATATTCAGAGCATATGAGATGGCATGTGAAGGATAGTAACAGAGATGGAATCATGAGGCATCCCAGAAATGGTGAGGCATGGAAAAGAATTGATACTACTTTTCTTGAATTTGCTTCTAATCCTAGAAATGTTCGATTAGGCCTAGCTAGTGATGGTTTCAATCCTTTTGGGATGATGAGTACTAATTCTAGCATTTGGCCTGTGATTTTGGTTCCATATAATCTTCTACATTGGTTGTATATGAAGAAACCAAATTTTATCCTCTCAATTATCATTCCAGTTCCACGTACGGTGGGGAATAATATAGATGTATATCTACAACCGCTTATTAAGGAGTTGAATGAGTTGTGGTGTGAAGGTGTGAAAACTTTTGATTCATCAAAGAATTAAATGTTTAGAATACGGTCAGCTCTTATGTTGACAATCATCGACTTTTCTGGACTTGAAATTTTATCTGGTTGGAACACACATATCGGTTTTGCATGTCCTTCTTGTAATTTTGACACAGAACCTTACCGACTTCGTCATAGTAGAAAGTGGTGCTTTATTGGTCATCGCCGGTTTTTGGCAAGAAATCATAAATTTAGATTGACAACGCTCCATTTATTTGGCAATTTGGAAGAGAGGAACCCTCCAAAGAAGTTAACTAGGTCAAATATTTTGAATCAAGTGGAAGACATTGATGTTGCATTTGGAAAACCAACAGAATTGAATGAAAGAAGGAAAATAAATCGACAAAAAGGTAGTGGGAAAAGTGCAACTCAACAATGGAGAAAAAAAACATATTCTTCAATCTTCCATATTGGGAATTCAACTCGTTGCGCCATAATTTAGACATTATGCACATTGAAAAGAATAAGTTTGATAATATTATATACTCTTTGCTACATGATAAAGACAAATCAAAGGATCATGTTAAGGCTCGAAAAGATCTACAAGATATGGGTATAAGGCATGATCTTTGGCCAGATGAGAATGAGAATTGTCGGCTTGCTTCGTTTGCAATTCCAACAAAAAAAGAGTCTACTTTCTCAAAACTTTAAAGAAAATCTCGGTGCCGGATGGCTACTCAAGTAATATCTCTCGTTGTGTTGATCTAGATAAAAAGAGGATATTTGGACCAAAAAGCCATGATTGTCATATCATTATGGAACAATTGTTGCCCATAGCAATTCGAAATGTACTTCCAAACTAGGTTGTTGCAGTGTTGGTAGACCTTTCATCCTTTTTAGACAACTTTGTTCGAAACGCTTGAGCCTCTCGGACCTAGAAAAGCTACAAGATCGGATTGTACTCACACTTTGCCATTTGGAGATGTTGTTCCCTCCATCCTTTTTTACCGTAATGATTCATTTAACTGTCCATCTAGTGGATAAAGTAATACAAGGTGGACCGGTACATTATCGGTGGATGAATTTTGTTGAAAGGTAAAGCATTACTTACTAAACATGATTTCAATCGATCTTATAATAGTAATTCAAAGTAAATACTTATTCTAATACTTTTTTATTTTGGTTATAGATTGTTAGGTCATTTCAAGTCACTTATATGGAATAAAGCACAACCAGAAGGTTCCATAACTGAGGGTTACATTGTTAAAGAAGCCCTAACTCTTTTTTTTCGTTATTTTGAGGATATTGAGTCGGGGGTAAATAGGCCTAAACGTGTAAACAATAGACCAAATCTTAATGAGGCTTCTGAAATATCATCTTTATTCCCTACACAAGGTAAACCTGTCGGAGGTTCTGAAACATTCCCCTTGACTCAACTAGAGAAGACTCAAGCTCATCGATATGTGTTACTTAATTGTGCAGCAGTAAAGTCGTTTATTAGGTAAGAAAAGTAAATTAATTTAATTTTTTACAAAAACTTTGAGTGAAGTGATTAAAATTGATACAATAAACTCCTTGTGTAGTGAATTTAGGGATTACATAAGAAGGAGTTCAAGAGGCCGGAGATCTTCAATAACCGAAGTAGAAAGGAGAGTTAATAAAGAGTTTCCTAATTGGTTTCCAAAGAGAGTGAGTGAAAATGCTTGTCTACGCTTAATTAACTTTCTTGTTTTAACTTTAAATATTTGACGAAAATTATTTTGGGCTATTTAGATTATGAATCTAGATATAGCAAACACAATCTCTACTGATTTGGAGTTTTTAACACAAGGTCCATGTCCGGATGCGAGAAGGTTCACTGCTTATAGCATTAATGGATTCAAATTCCGGACTTTGTCTAGAGAACAAGGATCACAAACTCAAAATAGTGGAGTTTTTCTTACCTCTGACACCTCTTGTATTGCATCTAACATTGACAGAAATGTGAGGCAAGCAGACTTGCCATATAATGGGAAGTTGAAAGATATTATTGAGCTCAATTATTATGGTCAGTTTAAGGTTGTGCTCTTCAAATGCCAGTGGGCTGACACTACTTGAGATAAAGGGTTCAAAAGAGATGCTTGAAATTTTAACTGTGTTAATTTTTCTAGATTGATTCACATCGGCGATCGTGAGGAGCATGATGCTTATATTGAAGCATCTCTAGCAAATATGGTATACTATGTTAATGATGAAACTGATGAAGGATAGAGTGTGGTTGTACATTTAAAGCCAAGAGATTTGTTTGATGTGGGAGAGGTTGATGAAGGAGAAATATACGAGAATGAGCCATTCCAACAACAAGAATTTGAATAATGTTTTGATGTTAATTATGAAAATGTTCAACTTGCAATAGAGGAGCATATGTTTGAATAGGAATTAGGCCAGTCCTTCAGTTTTCTAATGGAAAATGAGAAAATGTGTTATAACTCATGAATTCTCATTTTGATACTTCCTTTTTTGTAATACCAAGAACTGAATTATTTCCATTTGTCCTCATGCTTATATGAGAATAAGAAGTTGTTTTCTTCTCAAATCTATATGGGTATCTTCCAAGATAAAATCTTTACGAGGTTTTAAGTTGTTGTATTGAAGTAAATTCCAAAATCTCTTAATTTGAGGTGTTTTATTTATTTGGCTTTAATGGATGTTTCTTGTGATCTTGAAGTGGATGTCAATGATAAAGAAATATTTATTGTTGATAAGGTAGATTTTCTTTCTTTTAGCTTTCTGCTTCTTCTCTTTTGTCTTTGTAAAATAAGAACAAGCTCTGTATTTTCTCTCCCTTTTCTTTTTTGATTGTTTGTCCAAATTGTTACCTTTTCAATTATGTTATTCTGTTTTTTAGTTCTAATTCTCCGTTTTTGGCTTGTTTTCTCCTCTATTTTCTCCAAGTTCTTTTTTTTGTGTGTGCAAAATAATAGTTTAGCCTGATACTATGATTTTACATGAGCTACTAACTGTAAGATTGTAAATTCTTGCCTAGTTTTTGTTATGTGATATTCTTGTGCATTAAGTTCTGAGAATTTGTTAGATTTTAATTGGTTTGCGTAGAAGAATGATGTGTTTGAGATGCATAGATGTAACTCCTTTTATGTTTTAGATAGTTGGTTTCTTGAGCACTGTTATTTAGTCTATTAGATGATAACTATAAGTCTTAGACAATGTGAATAAATATGTTGGCTTTTCTTTTGCGTGAACTCCTGCTTTTCTTTTATTGCTTGCAGGTATGCCGAAGCCCAAGCGTTACGAGAACTTCCAGAACTCAATTAAGTCAGCACCTACATCACAAGGTGTAGCACAACCTTTATTAGCAACTGAATCAACACCTTCACATTTTGATGATGCACCACAGCTGACTTCATTTAATCAACCGACAGAACGACCAACACCTTCAGGTCATGTTGTAGCAAATCCGATTCTGTCAGATCAGACCACAACACAGCAGGTTCCATCAGCCCGGGCCGCGTCACAACACCCACCATCTAGAAAACGTAGTGGACATGTGTCTACGAAACATTGAACTGTAGATGCAATAGGTATGTTTCTTATCTAACATAAATATTTGAGGTTTTTTTGGGGGAACTTCTGCATGGCTCACCCGGTTAATATCATGGTGCTAACTACTACCTTATCCAGATCAAAGTTGTCCTCGTTGTGTTGCGCTGGAGTATGATCTAAATGATCAAGATTCAGAGACTGTAAATGAAAAGTATTATTCCCATTTCCACCCCCAAGAATCTGGAATAGAACCAGAAAGATTGTTATATTGTAAGTCAAGAAAAATAAGAGAGGTGGATTGAGTAAAACTTTGTGCGATTTCACCGGACAAAGAGTTATAACTTAGATTAAGAATATAAAGCTTAGTCGAATTAATAAGACTAGTTGGCATTGTCCTAGATAAAGAATTATTACTAAGTTCAAGTGTTTGAAGAAGTGGACATAAACCAAGTGAAGAAGGAATAGAACCAGAAAACCTGTTATTGTAAAGTTGAATACCTCTTAAATTTGGCAAAAATCCCAACATATTTCATTATCTTGTAAACTAAGTTTTCTGAGAGCTTTAAACTGACCAATCTCTTCACTTAGTGTGCCACTTAGCCCTTTTAATGGAATCTTGATTACAATAACTTGACCTTGAGCACATTTAACACCAACCCAACTTCCTGAACAAGCTCCAAATTGTAACGACCCAACCGGTTGTTTCGAGAGTTATAGCCCCGTTTCCTCCATTTCTTCTTCTTTCTGTGTTATTCAGCTGTATTGTATTGTATTAGGTTGGTTGGTTCACATTCAGAGTGGAATGAGACGCTTAGTCTCCTATTTAGAAGCTTAAGTTGGAAAAGTCAACCGGATGTTGACTTATGTGTAAATGGTCTCGGATTCGGATTTTTATGCCTTGGTTAGCTCCGTTAGATGCTTTTGGAATTAGGAGCGCGTCCGGAATGTGATTTGGAGGTCCATGGTAGAATTAGGCTTGAATTGGTGAAAGTTGAAAATTGGGCGATTTTGGTCGGCAGTGAAAAATTTGATATCGGGGTCGGAATGGAATTCCGGAATTTGAAAGTTTAGAAGTTCTTAGACTTGAATCCGATGGTAATTTAGTGTTTAGATGTCGTTTTAAGTGTTTCGAAGGTTCGACTAAGTTCGCACGTTGGTATATGACTTATTAGTGTGATTGATTGAGATCCCGAGGGCCTCGGGTGAGTTTCGGATGGCTAACGAATTGATTTTTGGTGTTGAGAGTTGTTGATTCTACTGGTGTTGAGGTTGCTGGTATTTTCCGCACCTGCGGATGGGGAGCCGCAGGTGCGAGGTCGCAGGCACGCGCGGGAGTTCGCAGGTGTGGACGGAGTTGAAGTAGGCTGGGTCCGCAGGTGTGTAGGAGAAGTCGCATCTGCAGGTCCGCAGACGCGGATTGGTGCCCACAGAAGCGGAAGTGAGGAGGTCAGACAGCATCCGCAGGTGCGAGGTCTTTTTCGCACCTGCATGGTCGTAGATGCGGATATAGAGCGCATGTGTGAAGTTGGGGGAATTAATGATTTTCCGCAGGTACGGAGTTTCTTGCGCATATGCGGCATCGCAGGTGCACATATTTGGCCGCAAGTGCGAAAGCCCTAGGCAGAAAATATAAAAAGAACACTTCGCGAATTTTGATTCATTTTCACCATTTTTCAAGTCGGGTTTTGGAGCTTTTGGAGTGAGTTTGAAGAGAGATTCAGGGGGTGTTCATTACAGTAAGTTGCTTGAGCTATAATACTCCTATCTATGGTGATTTCCCGTTGTTTAGTCACTTAATTAATGGAAATTAGGGGTGAAAATGAGGGGTTATGGCTTGAAATTTTGGAGAGTTTAATGGGAGGATTTGAGGGATCAAACGATGTCGGAATTTGATAAATTTCATATGTATGGACTCGTGAGTGAATGGACTTTCACGTTTTGTAATTTTTGTCAGATTTTGAGATGTGGGCTCGGTGGCGGGTTTTAGCCAATTTCGGGTTTTTGGTCTAAATTGGTAATTTTTCTTGTGGAATTCATTCCTTTAGCATAAATTGATGGTATTGTACTGATTGTGAATAGATTCGGAGCATTTGGAGGCCGAATCAAGGGGAAAGAGCATCGCGGAGTAGGGATTTGATCGGTTTGAGGTAAGTAGCGATTGTAAATCTGGTGCTGAGGGTATGAAACCCCGGAATTTTATATTATTTTACTATTTGAAGGTGGCGCACATGCTAGGTGACGGGCATGTGGGCGTGCACCATTGGAGATTGTGACTTGGTCCGTCCCGTATTAACTGTAAAGTTGAATATTTTGTTGAAACTATATGATTCTTATGTGTTTTAGTAAGAATTTCTGTAAATTGGGTTGGATGCCATGTTTAGGCCTTATGCCAGTGTTGTTTGGACCTTTCGAGTTCTTTTCTTGCTATCCTCTCATTATTTTTGATTGAAAATCTATACTCAGTCATGTTTATACATATTAACAGCATAACTCAGTCTCTATTAGTCTATTTTGATGCATCATATAAATGTTGTTTGGGCTGAATACTTTATTTTTTGAGAGCACGAGAGGCTGGAGAGGTATATGACTAAGTGAGGCCGAGGGCTTGATTTGTGAGGATACTTATGGGATCGGGTTGCACGCCGCAGAATGTTTGATATAGGTCGAGGGCCTCATTAATTTATGTCATGATTGGCTTGATATAGCGCTTGGGCTGAAGGAGCCCCTCCGGAGTCTGTATACACCCCTAGTGAGTGTAGGTACCTACTGAGTGTGAGTGCCGAGTGTTGAGTGACTGGGAGGCATGAGTGATGGCGAGGTCTGCCCGAGGGGCTGTATATGAGTGATTGTGAGGTTTGCTCGAGGGGCTGTATATGAGTGATGTTACTCGAGGGACTGATTATGATTTCATTATTTTTTTCTCATCTTTGCATTGAGCCTTTGTTTGAAAACTGTTGAAAGATGTCTTTAAATGATTGTACTGGAACTGGATTTAAAAGAGCTAATTTGATTCAAACTCTGGTTTTAAAAGCATGTTGTATTCTACTGAATTTTAGTGATATGAACTTTACTTGCATTATTGCTTGTCACCAATTCTCAGTCTTTATTTACTGTTGTTACTTACTGAGTTGGCGTACTCGCGTTACTCCCTACACCTTGTGTGTAGATCCAGGCGTATCTGGACATGGTAGCAGCTGTTGACTATCCCGATTGCAGATTTTCTCGGGGATAACTGGGTAGCTGTTTGGCGATCGCAACCCTGCTCTTCTCCCTCTTATCTTTCTTTAGTTGTATTTAGCTATTTTCCATACTATGTTAGTCTCGATGTTGTCAGACAATTTGTAGTAGATGTGCATGACTAGTGACACCCCGATGTCGGTCTTTTCTTTTCCGCACTTTTATTTTGATTTGAACTTCTTTACGAAGGTTTTTATTTTAAATAGCCTTGAAATTATCTTTGAAATGAAAATATCGGTTTATTTTGGAAATGAGTCGGCTTGCCTAGTTCCACGATAGGCGCCATCACGACGGGGTTAGTTTAGATCGTGACAAGTTGGTATAAGAGCTTATGTTATATAGGTCTCACAAGTCATGAGCACGTTTAGTAGAGTCTTGCAGATTGGTACGGAGACGTCTGTACTTATCTTCAAGAGGGTGCAGAACCCTTAGGAAGAATCTCACCTTCTTGAATTCTTGTCGTGTGAATCCATTGATTCAGGTAACTAAACTTCTATTGTTTCATTCTCTCACAGATGGTGAGGACTCGTACTACCAGACAGGGTGACCAGCCACCAGTACCACCATCCAGGCCCACGAGAGGCCGAGGCCGCAATCGAGGCCGTGGTAAGGGTAGAGGTACAGCCCGCACAGCTGCCGGGGCAGTACCTGTAGACCCTCCAGTTGCTCCAGACCAGGTCCCAGTCGCTGATGCTTCAGCGGGACCAGCTCAAGCACCACCTGTGCCTATTGTGATTCCTGGCCTTCAGGAGGCCCTAGCTCAGATCTTATCAGTATGTACTGGACTTGCTCAGGCGATCTCTATTTTAACGGCCGCAGCTACTTCTCAAGCCGGGGGAGATACTCAGACTCCCACTGTTCAGGGGCTTCAGACACCGAGGGCACCACCAGCCCAGCTGGTTGCAGCTTCTCAGGACTATGTAGTTCATGTTATGCCTGAGGATGAGTAGTGTAAATTGGAGAGGTTTGGGAGACTCCGGCCTCCATCTTTCAGTGGTGCAAAGGGCGAGGATGCACAAGGTTTCTTAGATAAGTGTTAGAGGATGCTCCGGACAGCAGGTATTCTGGAGACCAATGGGTCTCATTCACTACTTTCCAGTTCTCTGGGGATGAATTCAGTTTGTGGGAGGCTTACGAGAGGCATAGGCCGGTTGGCGCAACACCTCTTACTTGGCAGCAGTTCTCCGTTCTCTTTCTGGAGAAGTTTGTACCTCAGTCCCGCAGAGAGGAGCTGCGTAGACAGTTTAAGAAGCTTCGTTAGGGTGATATGTCTGTGACACAATATGAGATGTGGTTCTCCAAGTTGGCCCGTCATGCGATATGGTTGGTTCCCACAGACCGAGAGAGAATTAGGAGGTTTATAGATGGCCTCGATTTTCAGCTTCGAGTTCTTCTGATCAGAGAGAGAGTGTCTGGTGCTACTTTTGATGAGGTTGTCAACATTGCTCGGCAGATTGAGATGGTTCGCGGTCAGGAGAGGGTTGAGAGGGAGGCCAAGAGGCCTCGTGGACATGGTGGATTTAGTGGTGCTCCTCATGGGGGTCTGTTCCAGCATGGCAGAGGCCGTCCATTCAGGCATGCTCAGTCAGGTCGCCCAGTTCACTGTGGTGCATCATCAGGCCATGGTTCTCACAGTTCTCATCAGGGCCACTTATCACTTAGTGCCCTCCCAGCCCAGAGTTCGTCCTGTGATCCATCTGTTTAGGGCTCCACCATGCCAGGTTATTCTACAAGTTATCCTGGTGCTAGGGGTTCCCTTCACTCCCCGTCTCTAGCACAAGGGGGTTGTTTTGAGTGTGGGGAGTTTAGGCATATGTGGAGGCAGTGTCCTCGTCATCATAGGGGTCTTCCATAGCAGAGGAGTCAGCCATCGTCTTCAGAACCAGTTACTTCACCACCCGCCCAGCCAGCTAGGGGTGGTGGTCAGTCAGATAGGGGTCGCCCTAGAGGGCGAGGTCGATCAGGTGGTGTGGTCAGGCCTATTTCTATGCACTCCCATCTAGACCAGATGCTATTGCTTCAGATGCTGTGATTACAAGTATTGTCTCAGTTTGTCACAGAGATGCCTCCGAATTATTTGACCCTGGTTCCACATATTCATATGTTTCGTCATATTTTGCTCATTTTCTGGATATGCCCCATGAGTTTTTAGTTTTATCTGTTCATGTATCTACTCATGTGGGCGATACTATTGTTGTGGATTGTATATATAGGTCATGTGTGGTGATTATTGGGGGTCTGGAGACCCGAGTGGACCTTTTGTTGCTCAGTATGGTTGACTTTGATGTGATATTGGGTATGGATTGGTTATCTCCATGCCATGATATTCTATATTGTCACACTATGACCGTGACATTGGCGATGCAAGGATTTTCGAGGGTTGTGTGGAGCGGTTCTATAGATTATGTACCAAGTAGGTTGATTTCATACTTAAACGCTCAGCGTATGGTTGAGAAGGGTAACCTATCTTATTTGGATTTTGTGAGAGATGTTAGTGTAGAGACTCCTACCATTGATTCTGTTTCGGTAGTACATGATTTTTCGGATGTGTTCCCTGCAGACCTGCCGGGCATGCCGCATGACAGAGATATTGACTTTGGTATTGATTTGGTGCCAGGCACACAACCCATTTCTATTCCACCATATCGTATGGAACCGGCGGAGTTGAAGGAATTGAAAGAGCAACTTCAGGAACTCCTTGATAAGGGGTTTATTAGGCCTAGTGTGTCACCTTGGGGTGCACCGGTTCAATTTGTGAAGAAGAAGGATGGTTCCATGAGGATGTGCATTGATTACAGGCAGTTGAATAAGTTCACCGTGAAGAACAAGTATCCCTTGCCTCGTATTGATGATTTTTTTGACCAGCTTCAGGGAGCGAGGGTGTTCTCCAAGATTGATTTGAGGTTCGGGTATCATCAGCTGAAGATTCGGGATTGAGATATTCTTAAGACAGCTTTCAGGACTCGTTATGGCCATTATGAGTTCTTGGTGATGTCTTTTGCGCTGACCAATGCCCCATAACGTTGATGCGTTTGATGAACAGTGTTTTCTAGCCCTATTTGGACTCCTTCATTATTGTATTCATTGATGACATCCTGGTGTACTCTCGTAGCCAGGAGGAGCACGCTCAGCATCATAGGATTGTATTATAGAGATTGGGGGAGGAGAAGCTTTATGCAAAGTTCTCCAAGTGTGAGTTTTGGCTCGGTTCAGTAGCATTATTGGGGCATGTGGTGTCCAGTGAAGGTATTCAGGTGGATCTAAAGAAGATAGAGGTGGTTCAGAGTTGTCCTAGACCGTCCTTGTCCACGGAGATTAGGAGCTTCCTTGGTTTAGCGGGTTATTACCGTCGCTTTGTGGAGGGATTTTCATCTATTGCATCGCTCTTGACCAAATTGACCCAAAAGGGTGCTCCATTCAGGTGGTCGGATGAGTGTGAGGAGAGCTTTCAGAAGCTCAAGACTGCCTTGACCACAACTCCAGTGTTAGTTCTGCCATCAGATTCAGGTTCTTATACAGTGTATTGTGATGCTTCAAGGATAGACATTGAATGTGTTTTGATGCAAGAGGGTAGGGTGATTGCCTATGACTTTCGCCAGTTGAAGACCCATGAGAAGAACTATCATGTCCATGATCTTGAGTTAGCAGCTATTGTTCACGCCTTGAAGATTTGGCGTCATTATTTGTATGGGGTTCATTATGAGTTCTATACTGATCACCGGAGTCTGCAGCATCTGTTTAAACAAAAGGATCTTAATTTGCGCCAGAGGAGATGGTTGGAGCTTCTTAAGGACTATGTTGTCACTATTCTATACCATCCGGGGAAGGCCAATGTGGTGGACGATGTCTTGAGTCACCGGGCGGAGAGTTTGGTGAGTTTAGCATATATTCCAGCAGCAGAGAGACCCTTGGCATTTGATGTTTAGGCCTTAGTAGATCAGCTTCTGAGATTGGATATTTCGTAGTCGAGTCGGGTATTGGCTTGCGTGGTCTCCAGGTCTTCTCTTTATGACCGTATCAGGGAGCGTCAGTATGATAACCCCCACTTGCTTGTCCTTCAGGACAATATCCGGCGAGGTGATGCTAGGGATGTGACTATTGGTGATGATGGCGTGTTGAGGATGCAGGGCCGAATATGTGTACCTAATGTAGATAGTAAATTTTGTGTTACTAACTGCAGTGCGAAAGTTTGATCACTTGTTTTATAATAGAAAAAGATATTATTCTTCTATTGTTTTCCTTTTTTAACTTGTCAATCACTGATTGAAGTAAGCACACTGGCTTTTGGTGTGTAATGTATTTAGGAAATAATTGAACTAGCATTGAGCCAAAGCACCGTAGATGAGTCTGAAATTTTGTCAAATGATGTTGTTGGTAAAGTGTTGGGAAAAGAGCACTCTGGAAGGGTAAGGTGCTTAGGATTAGGAGCTGTTCCTGGCAGAGCTTTTAGACAAACAAGACCTCGTTATAGTGATTTGAATGCTTGAAGTTATAATAATGGTTCATGTTCTTCCCATGCCAAGAGAATTACAATCAAACGTTGAATGCTCACAATCAAAGCCAAGAGAACTACAGAAAAATGATGAATGTTTTTAAGGCGTATATGATAATGAAAGAAGGGAAGATACCTGAAGAATTTGTAGGGAAATTTGTTTCTCCTCCTCGTTCAACGGTAAGAATAATTCATAACTTTCTTATTTAATTTTGTAAAGTATGATTGATCAGTCCAAGTATTACTCTAAATTGTGATACCTAAAGAATGCTTTCTTGCTTCTTAGATTCACAAACTTTGCAAGTCAATTTAATCTTTTCTATTTACATATCAGAATAAAAGAAGTTTATAGTTCCACAAAGCCAACATCCTTTCTTTCTTTCTTTCATTCATTCATTTGTTTAGATAATCATATTCCCTCTAGTTGTTCTGCTTTTTTTGACATCCACTCTCACTAGGCTTGTCAATCTTGCGCTTTTGCTATCAACTGGAAAGATATTTCAGTAGCCAATTCTTTTGAATTGATCGCTGAAAGTATGAGCCAAAGACATTTAGCTATTTGAGTTGCAGGCTATCTGAAGTTGTTTTCTTTATGAAACAAAAGTGTGGCAGCATAAAATTTAAGAATAATCACTTTTTTCAACCTCCAATTATAGTTTACTTACACTTTTGTGCTATGTGATGTTTGACATACCTTACAACATTAGATGTGTCCTAACTTTGTGCCATAAATATTCTCTTGACTCATAGATGGCTTAGATAAGCTACTGATACTTGACTGAAACTAAGTGATTATTAGTTACGATATTATTGGGGTACTTTTTGTTAATTATATTTTATTTTGATTGTTTTGTAGCCAAGTGATGCGGCTGGAAGATCTATTTAACCCATGGATATAAGATGATCATTTGGTGGAAGTAATCCTAACGACAACCATTGAAGTTGCTTGCAAATGTATTAGATAATTAAGTATCGTACTCGATTGAATGGTCATAGTAGATCTTTTGTCCATAATGATTGGGATGGATGTTCTATTTAAAGTTAGTTTTAAGACTAATTATAATATTTATGTTTTATGTTTAATGGTTGGAGTAGTTGTATTTAAAGCAAAATTTTGAGACTAATGATAATTTACTTTAATGTACTTTGTGGTTTATTAATATATTGATGTTACTTTTTCCGGTAAGCAAATTATATAATTTTTTGATGCTTTATTATATTAATATAATTGAAATTGGATCAGTTGTGGAGTAACATTGCAAAAAAACAAAAAACTTCAATGAATAGCGGAGGTTATAACTGCCGCTATTTAACCAATAATAATAATGTGTTATATAATTGTGGGGGTTAAATAAAAAACTTGCGGGGGTTTAGACCTCTGCTATTTTTTTAATATCTAACAGCCAAACTACCCAATTGCGGAGGTTATACCGCCGTTAAGTACCCGCCGCTATACGATGGTCTCTCAAAAAATCCCCGCAAATTGGTTGCGGCGAATATTATTGCGGAGGTTTTGGAGACCGCCGTAAAAGTATATTGAGGAGGTTTCTGACCGCCGCAATATGTAAATAAAACCTCCGCAAATTCAATATTTTTTTGTAGTGACTCCACCGAGGTTAGCCTTGATACTTACTGTGTACCGATTGTGGTGTACTCATACTACGCTTCTGCATATTTTTGTGCAGATTCAGGTATCTCGAATCGTGCTGGTCGCAAAAGAGTTGAGCCACAGTTGTGAAGACTTCAAGGTATACCTGTTGTTTTCGCTCGTAGTCCTCAGAGTCACCTTCTATTGTTTCTTTAATGTTGTTTATGTATTCCAAGCAGTGATGTACACTTTGAGACTTATTATGTACGTCTTGCAGAGCTTATGACTCCGTATTACCGGTTTTGGGATATGTGACTTTTGCATTCCGCTTTTGGCTATATTATGACATTTTTCATTTTTTATTTAATAAGTTGTTTTAATCTGTTGATCTCATCATGTAATAGTCTTATCTCGTCTTAGAGACTAGATGCCATCACGATTCTTAAGGTGGGATTTTAGGTCGTGATAATTAACAATAAATAAACCTTTACCTATTATCAGAGAATATGTCAATTTATTGTCCCACCGTAATTTAATTGTTCATGTATTAGCGAGAAGTTTTGTTCTGGCTGCTCATCCGGCAAAGTTATTTCCACATCAGGCTAGACTCTTTAGCATGATACTTATTTTAATAAAAAAGCTCAGAAATATCCTCAGTGGGTTGAGTGTTAGTCAGAGTAGGTGGAACTTCATTCTGACTCACATCCTCTGAGCTTACATACAATTCAAGCATCCTTATCTCAATTAAGTCCTCATGTTCGTTCGGAGTCCTTAAGAGATCTTGTAAAGTTTCATTATCATGAATATTAAACTCGGCATAACAAGCGACACCTTGTGTAGTAACTAAATATGAAAATCTTTCAGTTACCTTTAAGTCCCATTGAATGCATGTTGATACTCATTCTTTTACACAATAGAGTTACCAGTGTAGTGGTACTCCATTCAAAGCGGCAACTTAACACTAGTTGCAAGAGAACAACTGTCGTGTACCGAGGTATTCTCCAACACAATCTCATTGCCCCAATATAAAGTTATTCTAATCTGTCTCTCATCTCTCATTGTTGAAATATTCAAAAAAATAATATTTATAAAGATGAATTACAACGGAAGACTTTTTATCACAATACTAAATGTGAATTCTTCATGTAACATAGTCCAATTTAAGTAAATGTGAAATTGCACGGACATGACTGAAAAGTGCAACAACCGGATAGGTTATTTTTTTTCGAGATTTTTCATAGCTCAATTTGATGATCTATGATTTGCGTGCATAGCCTATGTCATTTTTCGGTAAGTTTATATGTAAAATTTTAAAGAAAATGTAGTTTTTGACTTTAAATGTGGCTAGAGTTGACCACGGTCAACGTTTTTGGTAAACGGCCTCGGATCGGTATTTTGACGATTCTGATAGGTTTTTATGATGCTTTTTGACATATACGCATGTTTGGTTGGGTCTCGGGTGACCCCGAGGCCGTTTCGGCACATTATTTGAAAAGTTGAAAAAAATGAGTTTTGAACTTGAAAATCTTGAGTTTTAATGATCAATTCTTGAATTTTGATGTTATTTTAATGACTTGAGCTAGAGAGTGAATTTGTATGATGTTATTACACTTATGTGAATGTCCAGATTGGAGCCCGAGGGGCACGAGTGAGTTTCATATGTGTTTCATTTTATTTTGGCAGCTGAAGGCAATAGTTGGTGTGCATGATCTGCAGGTCTAGTATTTGCGAAGACCTATTTGATAATGCGAGGTTTGCATTTGCAACGTCAGGATGGCATATGCGAAGTGGGACTAGGAGCTGGGGATTTTGCTTTTGCGAAGAACAGGTCATTGGCAACTTCTCAAATGCGACACTAATGGTTTAGGCAGCTTCTCAAATGCGAAGCATTCACCGCATTTTCTATGAATGGGAACTTCGCAAATGCAAAGGTTTTGTCGAATTTGCGATAACATAGTTGCTCAGACACGGTTTGCTAATTCACTTTTGCATACAACGCAATTGCGAATAAAAGTTCACAATTGCGACTTCTACAACATGAAAAAATGTGGGGATTTCATGACAGCTCATTTTACACCATTTTAAAACCCTAGACTCCATAGATATGATTTTTAGAGCAATTTATTCCTAAATTCATTGGTTAGTAATCTTAACTTATTTTTGTTCAATTCCCATTGCTTTTTCATGAATTTCATCATCAATTCTAAGAATTTTAATGTAGAAATTCGGGATTTTGGGTAGAATTTAGGGATTTTGTAAAATTGAGATTTAGTCATCAAATTGAGATCAGATTTCGAAACAAATCACGTATTCGGGCTCGGGGGTAAATGGGTAATCAGAATTTGGTTTTAATTTCGAATTTCGACCACGTGGGCCTGGGCAGACTTTTGTTGACTATTCTCAATTATGTTAAAGATTAAACCTTTTTCATTCGAGTGTAGTTTCTAAATCTTGTTTTGACTTGTTTGAACAATATTCAACTAGATTTGATTGGTCTAGAGGCTTGTTCTAAAGAAAAGGCCGTGTTAGATTATTGATTGTGTTTCTGAAAAAGGTACATGTCTTGGTTAAAATTGATTTAAGGGAAATAAGGTATAATTGAGTCTATTTGTTAAGTGATCTATGTGTTGGGGGCGACGTATATGCAAGGTGATGGGTGTATATGCGTTGACCATGGGGTAAGCATGCAGGTAGAATTAGCCTTATTTGTACTATGTTATTTGTGTATTATGTCTTCCATGCTTTAGATAGATTGTTTATTATTTAATTTCTCGTATTTACGTTATTTTCTCTGTTGAGATTATTGAGATATTGGTATTGAGATCGTTGAAATGTTGATTGGTTGTTGGTGCTATTTGTTGGAAGATTTTCATATGATGAGTTGTTTTCCAATACTATTGTTGATGTTGAATTCACTTCCCACCTTGCTTGATAATGTATTGTATGTGATTGCTTGGTGAGGAAGAGTGAAATGCATGAAGGATTTTGTCGTGCTTGTGAGGAAAAGTGGTTGTGCATGAAGGGTGTTTCCGTGCCTTATTTATATATTGATATTATTGCTTGAGTGAACGTGAGGATATGCATGAAGGGTCTTTCTGTGCTTGTTATTATTTTATAATGTGAGAGTGAGAGTAACATCACGAAGAGTGATACAGTACAATTATTTTTATTTTATAATATAAGGATGCGAGTAAAAGCACGAAGGGTGATTATGTATAATTATTTTTACATTATAATGTGAGAATAAGACTAAAAGCATGAAGGGTAATGCTGTGTAATTTTATTGGTTTCTTTGCTCTTTACTTTGACATTTTGGAATGTGGATTTGGATTTATGATTTCATTATTTACTTTTGAAAGAGGCTTTCTTAGTGACACTTACTTTATGTTTCCGTTTTATGCCCCATTTTCCTATGTACTTGTTTCACTTGTCATTATTCAATTGTTATATTTGATACTCTATCTGCTATTTTATTACTTATTGATATATATAACTGCACAGATTTATTGTAGGTGTCTTGTCTTAGCCTCGACACTACCTCGTCGGGGTTAGACTCGACACTTACTGAGTACATTGAGTCGGTTGTAATCATACTATACTTTTGCACTTCTTGTGCAAATACGGATATCGGTACTAGCGGAGTCCTAAGAGGTGCTTAGCAGATATCAGGCAAGTGATTCGCGGTAGAGCTGCATACTATTCGCAGACCTTGTGTCATCTTCTTATTTATATTGTACGGTTTACATTTTTTCCCGGAGAATGTTGTATTTCATTCAAAATGGTGTATGTAGTAAATTCTAGAAGCTTATGTACTTTGACTCCACATATTGGGATAGTTTGCGTTAGATGTTTAGGTTCCATCATGACCCCGATTGTTTGGGATTATGGGTCGTGATAAGTTGGTATCAGAGCCCTAGGTTGCATTGGTCTCACGAGTCCTGAGCAATCTTAGTAGAGTCTTGAGGATTGATACAGAGACATTTGTACTTATCTTCTAAAGGCTACAAGACTTTAGGACTCTTCACTTTATTTCTTTCTCTATCGTGCGACTTTGTTCTATCGTTAAGTTTGAATAATTCTTCTCTTATTCTCTCACAGATGGCGAGGACACGTACGTCATCCGCAGTAGATCAGGAGACGGAGCCCCAGATCGCAGCCACTACCAGGGGTAGGGGCCGAGGAAGAACCAGAGGTAGAGGTAGAGCTTAGCCTAGAGCACATGCATCGACACCCATTATCAAGCCTCAGATAGAGAAGGATGATGATATCCATGTTCTGACAGAGCCAGTAGAACTAGCTCAGTGCTTCAGGACACCTTAGTCCGCATGGTTGGTCTCATGGAGTGTATGGCTTAGGTAGGTGTATTCCCTGTGGAACCTGCCATTTCTTATTCCTGGGGAACAGTTCAGACTCCCACTACTCGTACTCCGGAGCAGATGGATCCTGGCTATTAGACCCCCAACAGTTCTACCAGTTG